AATAGGAAATGTCGCTTTCCTAGTATATATTGTCATTTGTTCAACAAAAACGCAGGGTATGATATGTGATGAATATCTCTTTGATATTACTATTTTCTGTATGAGGGCAGATGTTCGTCTTTTTCACACCCATTCTACCCCACCCACATTCTCAAGGCCTAACTATTCAGACGCTATATTTCGAACAAACATTTCTTTTTCTAAAATACAAAAAAAATATTAATCATTCAAGCTGTGAAGAAACATGCATGATATCCTCTTCAATTTGATCAAGGTCTGAATGCTGAGAACAGAGTGATTGACGATGAATGGTAGCTGCTTTTTGAAAATATTCCAATGCTTCACTCAGCTCACCTTTATCTTCATATACTGAACCTATGTTTCTATAACTTTTAACAAAATGTGGATGATCAGAAGGAAGTGACTTCAATCTGATTTTATGCGGTCGCTTGTAATGCTTCAACGCCAGATCACACTGACCAAGACGACGATAAATGCTACCAGTGTTATTATAAGAAAGACCTATGTCAGGGAATGATTGGGAGGTAAGTGCTATTCTCGAATAATTAGTACCTTCTTGTTGAAGTTCAATGCCACCTCATATTTTTCCTGTTTTTCATAGACAACAGCAATGTTATTATAGTAGTGAGCCATTCCGAGATGATCTGTAACTTTTTCTTTTTGAAGAAGTTCAATACTCTTATAGAACCAAGAAAGTGCGATACTGTACTGATTTTTCATTTGACGAATAGTTCCGATGGCATTGTACCGCATACAGATTCTTCGATAAGCCTGTGGGGATGATTGCATTATCAACTCTAATGACTTGCGTAAGAATTCAAGGCTTGAATCTAATTTCTTTTTTGTTTTGGTGCACTAAACCGAGTGAATAATATAAATTTATGAGTGAGGGATCATCGGAAGGAAGTTCGTTGAGTAATAGATGATAAAACTTCTCGGCTAAATCGAATGTATACATGCGACGTAATACTTTACCAAAGTCAATGAGTGTAGTTTCGTCTTCACCACTTCCATATTGTTCTTTCATATATTCAAACAGACTTCTCAAATCATGGTCATGGTCGTCGCACAACGTCAGTCGAATTATCCATATTTTTCTTCTTTGTCTTGACGAATATCTCTGAGACGAAAAATGGAACCAACCGTAAAGAGAACCTCTGATTCATGACCAAAGTCACTGGATGAACTTATGTCAGCGAACGGTCTAGTTACTCCGATACGAGGATCAGCCTCAATTTCAAATAATACTCAATGTAGATCATGTCAAATATTAGAATTCGGTAAGAATCCCATTGCTTTATGATAACTCATAGTAGTTGAGAAAAACGAATTAATAGAAATCAATTCACCGATTGATTGTTGCATAGTTTTCAATTCATCATTTGATAGAATTTGACCCCGATATACGCATATTGAAGATTGACATTGATGTCGTTCTAATTCTCGAGGGTGTGGGTGTGGGTGGGTGTGGATATTCTCTTATTTACGCGCATACCCACATCCACCCACACCCACCCACACCCCACACTCACATCCACACCAACATACCCCCACCACACCCTCACTCCCACACCCTTTTCACCATTCGCAAGAGCGATGTCCGAGCCATCGATCGGTGTACAACTCATTAAGACGAAAGATGTTTTTTTTATAGGCATCTTCTGATCAATACTTTTTTCTTTGCGTGTTTTCATAATAATCTCAACTCAAATTATGTCAAAATGTAGCTCGAATCACACTTTTTTCGCTATAAAAGTATCACAATTTTCATTATCTCTCAACCACTTGTTGTATGTGGATTTTAAAAGCAAATGTTAACTTCAGAACGAAAAAAGTGCGATTCGAGCTGCATTTTGACATAATTTGAGTTGAGATTATTATGAAAATTTGATGAAAATACGCAAAGAAAAAAGTGTTGATCAGAAGATGCATATAAAAAACATCTTCGTCTTAATGAGTTCTATACCGAGCAATGACTCGGACATCGCTCTTTCGAATAGTGAAAACCTCAGCTCTCTATCTCGTTCCTATCAAAAGTTATTCAAAAAATACTCATGGTCCTTCTATTTTGAAATCGATATTAGTTCTATTTTTAACATATTTTGGTCAAAAGAAGTGGCTTTATCGACACTTGTGGTTAGATGAAATTAACTAGCAATAGCTTATATATGACATTAGAGAAAAAATTCTTATTTATCTCTCAAAATCAAAGCAGCATTACATTAAACTGTTTAATGACGGACTTATTTTTATAGAAAAAAAAATATTTGTGATCATAAATCTTCTTGTAAGTTCTTAGTAATGATATCTATGCCAAATGACAACTCATATTGAAAAGACCTATTTTTTTATTAGATTTCGGCTTCTCCTGCAAAGGCTTGATATATACTTCCATTAAAAAAATGAGCATCCAAGTATAATTATAGTAAACATAAGCATGATATTTTTTTCTATTAGTAACTTATGAATCAATTTAGAAAAAAAAAGACTTTGCCATGATGACTTGAAAATTAATCATTAAAAAAAGGATGTTTAGAAGATAATTAACCAAGCCATTATTCTTACAACTTAAAAATTCTCTTATCGTGATCAATTTATTTGCTGCAAATATCCAACCCAATTAATGCTTATGATATATAGTTTTTTTTCCTAAGTGTCTGTTAATCATTTGTCTTGACAATTTCTTATGTAATTTACAATATTCATAATCACGTGAAAGCTTGAAATCATCGTAACACATTTACTAAAGAAGTTTTGAAAAATTATAAGATGCTGAAATATTTTGTCTTAAAATAATAGCATTATGATCTTTTTGCGTACTCGATGATCCGTGTTATAGATAAGCTTCTCAAAATTTTCTTTATCAAAACCTTGACTCTTTCCCCGAAATAGTATTTAGTCAACTCTTGAGCAAATATTTTGTTAAAAAAAGTTAAGATGTTTAATGCAATGTTGTTTTAATGTAAAGTGGATTTGACATCTCGAGTATTTTTTTTTATTCGAAGTTTATGATTTGCATAAGCAAAAGATTTATCCCGAAGTATTCTAAAAAATATAAATACATTCTTCTATCATATTATAAGCTTTTATTATTATCTGCATAAAATATAAAAGTATGATCATTTTGAATATATGTTGATAGATAAACTAAAAAGATTTCTATTAATATGAAGAATATGACAAAAAATTTCTCCCAAGATTGATTAAAGTATTCAAATCCTATTATGAAAAAAAAATATATTATTTTTTATGTCATAATTCTTTATATTTGAATACCGTGACCGACTTATTATCAATCATATGTAATTTGTGCTAGCATAAGCCAAAATTATTTTTACTTCTTTGACATTTATTTAAAATGAGTAAGAGATATATTTACAACACAGAAAACAAAATTGTAATCGACAAGAAAATGAAAACCCAAAAGATTCCTTCTATGTTTGTTGTATGATACGTACAAATTCTTCATAACTTATTTTACCATCATGATCCGTATCAACTTCACGTAAAACTTCATTAATCCGACGTTCACTAACATCACGATTTAATCGTCTTAAAACTTCATGTAGTTCACTTGCAGTAATATAACCTATGAAATGCAAAGCAAAAAAAATACAGCGTTAAAAAATAAATATTTGTATTTCAAAATTTTTTTACCTGAATTATCCATATCAAAACATTTAAATGCTCGTCGCATTTCATCATCGGTAAATTTTCGTTCGTAAACATTTTTCATAACTTTAACAAATTCATCAAATTCAACTAGAAAGAAAATTTTCAATAAATTAAAACAATCGAATATTGAATTTACCTGAACCATTTCCATCTATATCCATTTCTTTCATTACTTTTCGGACTAAACTATCTGTGGGATTAAAATTTAAAGCAACTAATATTTGCTTTAATTCTGATAATGATATAGTTCCACTTCTATCTCGATCAAATAGATCAAATGCATCATGTAAGTCTATCAATTCCAAAAAAAAAACAAATAAATAAATTTTATTAATCTTTGACAATACAATTCATTAATTACCTTTCATTTGACGATTAGATAAGATTCCTTGAGTTTTCTATAAAAATATACAATAGTTTTTTTCGAATTATTATTTCTTATTATATGTGTGCTCACCGACATTTGATTTATTACAGTGTGACAAGATCTTTTTTTTACTTTTCTCCTGTCTCGTCTTATATTCTGATGAAGAATGAAAAAAAGCAGACAGAATATGTTGAAACACCTTGTGTAGACATAACTTATAACGATAAATATAAAATGAGAAAAAGTTTTTTTTTTCTTTTCTCATACTGCAAATGCAAATGGTTCTTTAACAAGTTGTTATTGGATATTAATGAAGATAAAATATCAATAAGCAAATGTGCAAAAAAAGTCAATGATAAAGAATTTTTCACATCCCACGTTCCAATTACATAGATTTTCTAGTTTTTTTTTGTTAGTTCCTGATTGATGGAATATATAGGAGATTATATATAATATGTTTGTATGTTTATCTTGTGTTTTTTAAGGATATTTTTAAGTAATCAGTAATAAGATGATAGTGGATGATGTTTTCCTTGTTATTGTTTGGAAAGTATTGTTGGCTTAAATTTGTCCTAGGGTAAGAAATATTTTGAAGAACCTAAGAAGATAGAATAATTCTCTAATTTTGGTTCGATATGGTATTTCCAACTTGAAAAAAATTGACTTTTTTTATGCAATATTTTTAGTAAACGTATGCAGTATTTAACTCACTTCGGAAGCCCAAAAACTGATTGATCGCTTTTGAATCGAGAGTATGTGTATCATTTAGATTCTAATGGACTATGAATATTCTGGAAAAAGTTTGGACTCTTAGCTTATTGTTAGGGAGATATTAAACTTTTGCGTTATCTTTTATAACTTAATGTCGTGGCTTCCCCTCAGGAGCACGAGAAAAACTGATTTACAAATTTTTAATTGACAATTTACATAGAGAGATGCCTAGGGTGTTGGTGGGTGTGACTGAAGAGAAGACGAATATCCACACTCTCTGAAAATAAAATATGGTTTGTCATGAATAACTCTCGCTTGAATATATGATTATTCAGCTTTAATCGAAAATCTTATATTGTCACATCAATTGAAGAATGATGAAATATTTGAGAATTGTACAGCAGTGTTTGGACTATCACTATATATGCAGTGGATGTCAAAATTATTCAACTAGTAGATGCTTTTATCTTAGAACCATCTAGTTTTCGTCAGGAAACAGCATATAGGCTTTAGTTTACTAATAAAAAATTTCGGATCCATCCATTGGTCTCTTAAAGCATGCCGCTTTTCATTCTTTCAAAAAATGTCCATCTATTCATTTTGCAAAGTGCTGCGCACCTATTCTAAATTGAAATTTCCGTTATAATACATGATTCAATAGAACAATTTGTGATCTTCATAATTTTCATAATATTTATTTTGAAAAGTTGTTTTCGTTGTCTTCTACGTGTATATCCTGATCATAGATAGACTTTGTTATGCTATGAATAGTAGGAATAGGAAACTTATGAGAGTCCTAGCAACAAACTAAGTGCTGATCGCACCAATCAATACATCCTTGTTTGATGAGTTATATATCCACTTTATTGCTGGGACTGCAATAAATTTGTTATTACTCTTGCTATTTATTGTGTAAGGAAGGTAAAGAGCTTAAGAAATATAATCGGTTTTGATTGCAAATATAAGAATCTCATCTGAAAAAATATTTCCTACAAATCCATTGCCTCCTTCACTGTATGAAGGATGTGGGTGTGAGTGCGTATATGAATCTTCTTTTCACAAACACCCACACCGACACCCGATATATACTTAACCATCTGAATGACATTATTCTCTAGGACAACTTCCAGCACTTTAACGCTTCAATAATATATGAAAATTTTTTCTGTAGGACAGCGATCACTCTGCATACAAAAATGATAGTACATTTCATACATCGATACTCCATATTGCCTACTGTTCTTCGACTCAATAGAAATTTTCGTTGACGATACCACGTTGACACATTATTCCCTTCAGATATTAATCAAAATAGATGGATTGTCTATCATATGACTTTAGTTGTTGATATCTGGATAATCGTCAAATGTTTTTTTTTTCAGTTCATCTTAATCAATTAGTAGACATTGCAACATATGAACTTCGTTTCAGGTTCAACTCTACAGACGTTTTCGTTTTCGGGTAGTAGCATAAACTGATTGAAATATGAAACCTATCGATTGTGTTTATTTATAGATGTAACCAGATCAGTCGCATCATCATCAATGTATCATCGACGAACAACCAAGTAATCGAGTTGCAAAATTTTTCTTTTTCAAGCTAAAGTACCAAGAATATGTTTTTTCCATCTCTTGGCAATTTGTCACAAAACAGGGGGACAGATAATGAGAAAATGATCTTGATGAGATGCAATCAAGCAAAAAGAAAGAAAAAAAAACTAATCTTGCCTTTTTTTAGTATCCATCTGTGTACATATTCCGCCTACATATTGATTTTACTCACTGAAATATATGTATACATATATGAAAGAAAAAGAAGACAACAATAATAGAAGTTCTCTTGCTCTTGATATCTAGCATTGGTAAAATTCAAAACATAATTCGTCAGTGATCTCAAAAAAAAACTACCTTTTTTCCTTATATTTGAGTTCTATCCAGGATCATGAAACACATATATAGACTCAGTTTTTGATGCTCTTTCGAATGGTGTATTTGAAGTAGAAAATTGATGTAGTTAAAATTTTCAAAACCTAAGTTTTCTAAAAACCCAGAGACCCTGTGCTATTTTTAAATTTTCGACTTATTTTCAAGTTCAATTTTTTATCAAAAGTACGTCCTCATGAAGGGGAGAATTTTCTCTTTCCAATGGTATATTATAGAAGCATATTCGTGTCATTGGAGAGAAACTGGAACTCAATACATGCAGGTGTTCCAATAATTTTTTGCTTTGAAAAACACAAGTTTTCCAGAAATCATGGTCTCACGCTTCAAGTTTTTGGATCCTGACCGTGATATTTGCACTGTTTTAGGCAGAATATATGGCTACATTCTGGTGAAATCAGAATGAAAATCAGACCTTCTATTCGCTGGCAAACAGTCTGCTTTTATGATTAGATGCAAGTGTTCCAATAATTTCTTGACCCACTGTAGAAAAAATCAGAATTTAAAAAAATTTTTGTTTTGATCTTATTCATTGATTAATTCGAATAGTACATTATAATGAATCAACTTTCATTTCGACCATTAAAAGATTTAGAAAACTGAATATGTTTCGTTTTGTTTGTTTCAGTTCATGGAGGTCGTATTTCTCGTGAACCATGCACTTTATTTTTGGCTATTCTTTTATCACATGAAATTACTCATGCAGTTAACTATATTGGTGAAAAACAAAAAACTACACCAGAATTATCATTTTTTAGAACATATTCAAGTCCTGATGAATATGATGGTGGAAATGCATTGGAACACGAATTGTTTTATGGTGAAATGCATATTAATCGTGATTGTACACGTACTGATGTTGAATTGTTTAACAAACAATAGTCTTCAATCATTATCATCATTAGTTCGTCGATTAGGATTAAAACGTCAACGTATAAATGATAGTAGAAAAACTCATTATGATTATTCCGAATCAACTGATTATGAAAATAAGAAGAACGATGAAGAACCTGTACCTCTACTTCGTTATCATACGCGAACAAGTGTTTTTAAAGAAACGGATAATGTTAATCCAAATGAATATTATCAATCGTTGTTAAAGTACCACTGTGAAAAAGACACTTCGCAAGCCCAATCTCCAGATGATCCACTATTATCATGATATTATTGTTTCTCATGTACTTAGGATTTTTCAAAAGTTTTGATAAAATTAAATAAAAACAGGGGTCGCCGCGACATGATACAAGAAAGATAGAATTTCGAAAGGAGTTTTTCAAAGAAAAAGAAGGATTTTGGTAGAAAAGAAGGAAAATGAGGAAAACAAGCAATATCCATTGAAGCACTGCTTGCGAAAATAGGAAAGTGTAAAAAAACGTCCAGTAATAAGAGATGATATTAGAGCTCGAACAAAAAAAATCATTTTGAAATCATGATTTGGTCACTCTGCAAGATCTCAAATCTATTCGATAATATGTGAGAAGAGAAGAGAATACTCGAAGATGACCTCTTGCATTTCGGTAATTGCGAACAAATATTATTTTGTTATATCAATCACTTTATTACTCTTGATAGCTTTTATTAGATCAAATGCACGGCTTCACGTTGCTGGTATCACAAATGTTCGTGAATGATAAAGTCTGCACGTGAATAGGGTATGAGACATAGAGATGAGCGGAAACAAGATGAATCGTGAAAATGTAGGTTCGTAATAGCGGTTGTTTGTCATCGAAAACTGAATTTGTGGCTCTCGAAAACTCGACTCTTCTTTTTTTTTATTTACCTAAACAAAAACTTTCTGAAATTTACGAAAGTATATCCTTCACGTTTCTGAATTTTCTAATTTTATTTTCATTTTACGATGGGGATCGAGACTTTTCTAAAAAGAGTTTGCAGACGAGGACAAAAAATCCGAAGAATTTAAGGGACTATAGTAGTGGCAAAAAGTTTAGCAACAACGTATGTTGAATTTTTTGCTGTAATTTTAAGCACCTAGCTCAGGGTGTGGGTGTGGATGTGAATCTGCATCTAGGCCTGTGTGTTGGTATTTCTTTCACTCACATCCAAGATAGAGACGAAATGTTTTTGTTTTGCTGATTCATAAAGGGTGCAACAAATATCCATGTTTCCATTCATTTACGCAAATTGAAAAAGAATCAGAAGGCCATCACTATTATCCTCATTATCATTAAAATGGACAAGAAAAATCTTAAACCATATGCTAGTGGCACATCGCCGTCTACGACAAGTAAGCCAAATAAGTCATCCACAGCTGTAGCACCAACGATAGTTGTGAGTAGAAGAGCTGGGTGTGGGTATGAGTGCCTTTTTTTTGTTGAACACCCACATATACACCCTATTAGAGCTGTAACAGTATCAAGAAGCGATGAATATTTTTGTGTCTATTCTTATCTACATAAAACTGTGCATGGGTATAAATAGACCTTGTTTGTTTAATTTAGAAGAAGTCGATGATCATAAAAAGGTCATATCTTCAATAAGAAGTTGTTTCGTTACGATAGGATTGTTATCAGTTACTATTATGATCACATCAACGATGAATTTCTTTCTTTATCACCATCTATCGTTGTTTGGCATCAAATAAAATCACTTAGTATTATACTCAACCATTCAATTCAACTCATCTTTGTCTTTTTGCAAACGACTAATCTACGTACTCTCGAACTGCATTATAGATCAGAATATGATACTAAACGTTATTTGAAAGAGGAAAATTTAATCTATCTATTCGACAATATTTCTTTGTGCAAAATGCTCATGTCAAATGGCTTACGATAACTCAATCTTTTTCCTATTTCGTGACAACCAAATTTGGTAAACATTGCCTATTTAATTGTCGAGCGACTTCCTCATTTGCAAGTCATTGAAGTATCACATTTACTTATCAACAATCTTCCGAAATTAAAATTTCTTACTATTAATGGCGAAGATGAATATGATCAACTTTATGAGAAACAATTGCATGATCTGCAAAGTTCAAATACTCATTCTTTTCGAACAGAAATTCGTAACACAATAGATGAGGATACACTTTTCTTATGATTATAATAAAATGAAACTGCCAATATTTCTTTATTTCTTTGTAGTTACACCTGTTTTTGTGAAAGAATTATAAGAAATTTTCAACATGAATAAAGCAAAACTTTTTAAATTTTGTTTCGTAAGTTAAATCAGATGAAAAGATCTTCTGTGTTTGATATTAAATTATACTAAGATTCTTTGCTAGTTGTACACTAGAATATATACAAAAATTACTCCTACATGAAAACAATAACACTGATATTTGACCAAAAGATATTTTTTATTATTAATAGTCAATTTATTTCCAGTTACATTTTGATATCAAACCAGAGATGTCCATCGCGGCTGAAAATCTGCCGCTGCCGCGCCGCGGCCTTAGAAAAAAAAAGCTGCCGCGCCGCGACGGTTTATAAAAAAATGTTGCCGCGACGCTGCCGCACCGCGATGACTTATAAAAGAAACGCTGCCGCGCCGCTGCCGCGATGAATTATAAAATAAACGTGCCGCGGCCGCGCCGCTGCCGCGACGGTTTTCAAAAAAGTGTTTCTAATTTCACTGCTGTGACTATATTTGACCAGAGATATGGGTACTAGTCCATCAGATTTATTCAATAACAGGGCGTTTCATTTGTATATCCTGAAATTCTATTAAATTCATACAGTTTTTCAATGTTCTCCAAAAAAACCCTGCCGCTGCCGCGCCGCTGCCGCGATGGTTTTTTAAAAAACCTGCCGCTACCGCGCCGCTGCCGCGATGACTTTTAAAAAATCTGCCGCTACCGCGCCGCTGCCGCGGTGATTTTTTAAAAAAACCTGCCGCTGCCGCGCCGCCACCGCCATCGCGGCAGCGGCGCGGCAGCGGCAGCGGCAGCGGCAGCGGCAGCGCCGCGATGGACATCTCTGTATCAAACGCTATTTTAATTCCTCTTCCCTTTATCATCTTGTTCTATTTCCTTTCTCACATATAACTGACCGAAAATAAACAACTTGAAATGTATTCTATTTTTGAATATTCTTACAATAAATAATTATATTATTTCAAATTTATCCTTATATTAATATTTTAAAAGTTAAAACTTATTATAACATTTCATTGTTCAATAACAGTAACATATTTAAACTAGACCTTCACTCAAACTAAGCACGAGTAGAAAAGACGTCTGACTGCAGAATTTTCATAATTCTCATATATGTTCATAGTTATTTTTTAAAATCTAATTTATCTCTTATTAATAAATGAAGTTGGACATTGATTGATGACGAATATCAATTGCATATCCCTTTATTAGAACATTATTATTCTTTTTATTTTGTATATATAGTAAATCTTCGATACTCTTTCATGGATAAAGTTAATTTATACAAAACGATAATTAACGTGTATATGCATATAAGATACGAGATATCAATGGTCACTAAAATACTAAGTCATTTATAACTATATAAAGAAATTACCAGCTGTTAATTACCATTTATTTTTGTTCTTGCATCTTCCACATGGAGTCAAAGAAAAATGAATTTCAGATGTGCCCTACGCACATTCTCACGAGTTTGACAAGCTTTTTTGTGGGATGTGGGTAAATCTCTTCTTTCTGACCTCATCCAAACTCACCGACACCAAAATCAGTTTTTTCAATGTAGAAACTCTCAGTTACAGCTGATAGTTTGATGTAAGAAACCTTACAAGCATTTGTCTCATTATTATTTTGATGTAGATAAACATATATGACAAGTTAATCTAAGAAGACAATGAATTTATAAACTGTTCATTGATTGAAATATATCATTTTGTAGAATGCATCAATCTAGTCCAATGTTATTTTCCTATTGTACAAGTCTCCAATAACTAATTTCATCTTACATTTCATTGAGAAGAATTTTTTTCACAACAGCTTTATGTGTTTTTATCTGAATAGATTTAATAGAAAATTTATCGTTTCAATGGAATAATATTCATCATATTAGATGATTATGATTTTAATTTTGTAACATTCTTTATATTCCTAACGGTATTTATATTGACAATCTTATGTTTGAAAAGTATCCTGTTTTGAAATTTTGTTGTTTCATGTCCTACTTGGTTGGATATATTTTCGACGATTTTTGCAGCTTTTATTAAAATTATCTTAGTGTTCTTTTTAAAATTCAATAGAAGATCCTAGATAAATGAATATTATTCCATTGAAATGATACGTCTCCTATAAAACATTTGCAGAGGTGAAACACATACTGATGTTATGAAAAACAATTTTTCTCAAAAATATAAGATAAAATTATTCACTCAAAATTGATAACATGAATGCAATAGAGAAAAAGATATCTTTTGTAGAACTTTAAAAGATCTATGAAAAAAGAAATAGAGGAGGCAGATCAAACAAATTGATTCAGACATCTATAGATAATCAGATCAAAGTGAAAGTTTTGTAAATCTCCTAACTTTCTTCTCAAACTGATGATTTACTTGGAAAATATTGATATCAAATGCTATCAAAATTTGATGCTTTTATTTAACCAAAAAGTAATTGACTAAAGGCAATAGTTCCTTGAAAAGAGCAACAACAATTATATTCGATATGAAAAGAAAAAGGCATGCGTAGTCTGTGGAACCATGAGTCTTCTTTAAAAGACAACAGTTGACGAAATTAACTTTATCATTCACTGGACTTATCTGAATGTATGAGGTAACAGTAGTTAAGAAAAAACACATTTTTTTTATGAGCGCATAAGTAAATTTATAAAAATCATGACTTTTCAGAAGAATTTGAACAGTTTGTTCAAGATTTTTATTGATATATTTACTAACAATCAAAAAATTTGCGTATAAATACTGCATTGTATGGAAATAACTATTAAGGCTAATGATTCAAATGTTTCTTTGACTAATGAATACTTCAGTAGGAGTTAACAGACATGTTTTTTTTTGTTTTTGTTTTCAATGCATAGTTTTTAAAGCAACCAATGACATAACTATTAACTACTTCTACCAGCGTTCTGCAAGATTTCAGCATCATCATTTTAAAGATCGTGACCTTGCAAAGTTCTCTTTTTCTTTTGAATAACTTTTGAAATATTTATATTCCAAATATTCAAACACAAAATTTTATTTTGGCACAAAATATAAGATTTTCTTAAGGTTAATTAACGAATAGAGTGAATATTTGTGATACAAGTGAATTCTAATTTTATCTGAATTTTCAATTATTCAGGAGAAATATATTTATTTAAGATTAGAAGATTTAACTGATAATATCTTAGAGTTTCTGAATATCGTCGATAGCGAATGCCTGAGAAAGAATGTCTTTGCAAGAGTTCAAGAAATGACGTATTGGAGAAAATCAGGTAATCTTATATTACAATAAAACCGAATGATCGAGTTTATGATCCTAATGATTCTTAAAACTAGATATTAATGACAATTATTAGCTAGAAAAATGTGAATAAGATTGATTGATCTATTCAGAAGAGACAGACAATAAACTGTAATTGTGGAAAAATATTTTCTTAATCTAGAAGATTTGCAACGACTTGCTTGTTGAAACAAAACGCAAACTAAATTGATAATTGTCCCAAAATCAAAAAAAAAAAGAAACAGTTCTCCAGAAGAAAAAGTGAAGAATACAACGAATTCCTAGACAATAGAATGTATGGCTTTGTAGATGAACCGAAAACTCACACCTTATTGCATACATTTCTGTTTAAATTAAATTTTACAAGAAAAAAATTTTTTATTTTGTATCGTCACATGTATGCAAAGTTTACTGTGTTAACAACAAAAAAAATATTTGGAGTAAAGTTAAATAAGTTAGAACACAAAATTTAAATCACGAAAGTAGATTGTGAGAAAAAAAGTTTTGAAGCTAATCGTCTCTCCTATTTTCAATAATGAAAATAGAATAGGATTCAGCATCATACTATTCATTGAAACAACGACTTCTTCCATAAACAGATATTAGTAATTTTGAAAAAATGAATAAATATAGATAAGCATATGAAAAAAAAAGATTAACTAAGATATAATCATTTTTGTAAAGTTGTGATGTTATATGTGATTATCAAACGATGTTCGATGGAATATTTTGCAAAGCGATCAGTTTACATTTATAAACATTTACCAAAAATCGAGAAATAAATTTTAAAAAAGTTAAATAAATTTCAAATAAAATCTAATGCTTTTCATTGAAAAAATTCTCAGAAATTTACAATCTAAAATAATTTTACAGGATAATACCGCGCTTGTCAGGCATCGAACTGAACTCGAACCTGTGGAAGTTGGTTTGATTACTTTTCTGATAGTTATCGTTAAATACTGTCAATGATGAATTGCTTTTTACATTAAAATATTCAATTTTTTTTCTTTATTATGAAATTTTTTTTGTATTGATAACAAAATAATAAAAAATACGAATAATAAATCAAGAAAAAAGAATTGTTATTTGAATAAAAAGAAACAATGGTGTAGTGCGAGACTTTTTGAATTTATCATTTTCAATGGATTTTCAGAAAACAGTTCAATAGGATGAAGTATGGTAGCTGCTTTTACATATAATCTACTAAACCAAAACGATTCAAAGATTGTAGATGTGGTTAAGCAGAATATCAACATCTATACCCACATTCTTCTTCATATTATTAAAAGTACTGGTTATAAATGCAAGTTTTAATCCAGATGTTGTGCAACTTTTTCTTAAACTCTAACGACATGGTTTAGAAAAAGTTTTCATTAAAACTTCAATGGCTAAAATATGTTTAATGGATACATGTAATCGACTTATTTACTAGTTAAATCAACGATTGAAATCATAATAAAACATACGATATGAAATATAAATCAATAAGCCATACAGAAATTAGAGCACAAAATAAATGACAATCTATTCTGATTGATTTAGAAAATTTAGATATGATTGTTATAATAGAGACAGATTCTAGTAAAAAGAAAAAAAGTAAATAAATTAATTCTTGTTGCTAAGTTTCCATTTTATGAATTGATATTTTTAGTCTTTATTGAAGGTGTGGGTATGAATGACAGAGAGAGAGAGAGAGAGAGAGTATATGATTCATCAACATATCCAAACAACATCTACATCCACACCGTATTTTGAATGTGTTCAAATAAATCAGCATATAATTTTTCTAGATTCGATTCATTTATGAATGCTTGTTCAAATTGACGTCAATGTTCAATATTCGTTAACTAAAATAAATAAAATAGATTTTGCTTTTTCGTTGATACAATTGATATTTGCATGTTTTCTTTTAATATACCTGCAGATATTATTTTCGATCAGCAATAAGAAATAAACGATTGTCTGATTCTTCGAAACGAACAGTGAAACGTGATAACATCAATAAAAACCTAAAAAAGTAAAAGATATACTATATTATCTATGAAAATTCATTTTGACATTTCATGGCGAAATTTATTGATTTTGTATTGATCGTCATTCCTTCGGATTGCAACAAAGAGTTTTTGTTTTTCATTAATGTTCTGCTATTTATCTTTTCTAAATAAATTTCAATCGTATGTGTAAGTCTTCATAATTTTTATACAGAAAACTAGGAATAATATTTAACCATAGGCAGAATTTTACTCATAAGAGGGTGTGGGTGTGGGTATCATTATAGGTCTTGTCTTCACTCACACCCACACCCTGTGATCATGCACTTAACATAAGACAAGTTAACTCCCATATAGCCATACATAGTGATTTTCTTTGTGTAATATTTGTCATTGATAATAAAGTCTATTCATTAATTTTAGCTGAATACCGTGCATTAATTAAAGCACGAAAAAAAAACTAATGTGTGCAAGTAATAATGATAAAGGACGTAATAAAAGTAAAGCTTCATATAGTAATGTTGATGATTGTTTTGTACGTTCATATAATTCTTCAACAATTTCAATAAGAATATTATCTGATGATGATATTATTGATAAACTATCAATTATTGTTTGTTCTTTATTAACATGTTCATTATTTAATGAATTTGTATTTTTATTTGGTCGTTGTAATAATGTATAAATACGTGAAAATATTAACACTATATATCATTTTTGGGATATTGACCAACTATTAAAAGTTTTTCAAGACTAATTGATATAATTTTTTGTGTTAAATTATCATCTTTAATTAATGATAATCAAATATCATGTGAATTTAAATCAACTTCATGACTTTCAGATAAAAATAAACATGATGCATATGCATGAGTTTTAGTTATTTATTTATAATTACGTTCAATTAAATGTATATATAATTCATTATATTCGTTTGTTCTTTGTTCAAGTAATGTACTAGATTTACATAAATTATAACTTATTAAGGATATTATTAAATCATCTTCATCAAACCATGTACAAATAAATCAGATAGATATATAATTGAACCTATTAATTCATATTACATATATTTCAATTAGAATTTGTAATGATAATGTTAAATCAAAACCATGATGAAAAAAATAAGCGATCAAATAAACTCTAAATTATATATTTTTAAAGATGGATACCAGCAAAGAAAATGTTCATACTCTAATTTTCTGATTGATAGAATATATTTGAAATTATTAATATAAACTTTTATCTCTATGAAATAAGATAGTTTGCATGTATTATGTATCAAATCAAAGTCAGAGAAACACTAGATTTTCTGTTTGATGAAATTAATAATTTAGCAATGAATTTATCTTTCTTTTAACTTAGAGTTCTATTTGTCGATTATTAAAACATATGTGAGACTTACATTAACTGATAATGGTAATGTATTATTACTTTGGATTGATGTTAATATAGTATCATATGAAAGTTGTCCATAGGATAATAAATCACATGTACCTAACCGTTCAATATTTGTAAATAAATTATTTGAACTTGTATCTAATGTTGAACGTGTTTGCATATATTGACCATCGATAAAAAAATAAAACAGATAAAATCTAGTTTATTTTTCAATCTTGTTACCATTCTGTTGCATTTGTTTCTAAAGTTTCTTCTTTTTTTTTTAAATTATTTGTTGTTTGTTTATTTTCATCATTAAATTGATTTGTGGTGAATTAATTGAAGCTAAAAATGAAGCCTATATTTCTTGAAATTGTATTCTTAATAATCAACCAACTTCAAAATTGTCTTTACATAAATATTG